CCCTACACCTTCAGAATGTTAACAAAATTAATAAATACTTCGGAAGTATAACGCAGTCAAATTTAGAAGCTGATATAGAGAGTTTTAATTTTTATCTCAATAACAATAGACCTAATGTTGGTAATTTCACATTTGAATTGGTGTCTGAGGAAGAAATTTTTAAGATTCTTACAGCAATAAAATCAAAAGCTATAGGTGGTGATGATATTGGAATAGAGATGCTCCTGCTTTGCTGTCCTATCGTTGTTCCTATTATTACCCACATAATAAACTCTTGCATTGAAGTTAATTCTTTTCCTGATTTATGGAAAACTTCTATTGTGATTCCAATGCCAAAAATCTCAAACCCTCTAGATTATAAGGATCTCAGGCCTATTAGTATTCTTCCGGTTCTGTCAAAGGTTTTGGAAAAGGTGATGAGTACGCAGATTACAAACTATTTAAATTTATTTCAAATATTACCTACTGTCCAATCAGGGTTTAGATCGGATCACAGTTGTGCTACAGCAGTTTTAAAAGTAACTGATGACATTTTAGAAGCAATTGATCAAAATAAGATTACGGTGTTGGTACTCTTAGACTATTCCAAGGCTTTTGACAGAATCAATCACAGTCTTTTGTTGGTCATTTTGAAATATATTGGATTGGGCCATAACGCGGTGCGATTAATTGAGAGTTATTTAAATAATAGATCTCAAGTGGTTAAACTAAAAGATATATTATCAGATTCCTCTAATATTACATGTGGAGTTCCTCAGGGCTCAATCCTAGGACCTCTGTTTTATACTATTTATACTTCCAATTTTCCTGGTTATATTAAGTCTTGCAACTACCACTTTTATGCTGATGATACTCAGATTTACAATTCTTTTCATCCATCAAATACCTTAAATGCAATTAAATGTTTAAACAAAGATATACAATCCTTAATTGATCAATCTGAAAAGCACTGTCTTAATATTAATCCGGAAAAGTCACAAGTTTTGATATTTGGAAGGAAAAATGCAGTTGCAGCCTATAAAGAGCACGTGAAAATTTATATTAATAATAATCAACTACAAATAGTAGAATCGGCCAAAAATCTAGGCATTATACTGGACAACCAATTGCGATTCTCAAGTCATGTTTCCTCATGCGTCAGAAAATCTTTTTTAAATTTAAAACTCCTCTTTCCCTTTTGTCAAATAATTAGATTAGAAACTAAGAAAATGCTCTGTGATTCTCTTGTTTTATCCCATTTTAACTTCGGAGATACCGTTTATGGTAATTGTCTTACCAAAGAGGATTCTAATAGAATTCAATTAATACAAAACATGTGTGTACGTTTTATTTGTGGTATTAGGCGCAGAGATCATATTACACCTAAGATCAAATAGTTGAGTTGGCTTAAGATGAGAGAGAGGCGAGTATTGCATTCCCTTGTTCTTTTTAAGAAAATAGTGACTACCAAGCTGCCTCAATATCTGTATATAGTACAGTCATCTTAGTCAAAAAAAGGGATCAACCTCGGAATCTAACGGAATAAGCTGAATTTTTGTGAAAACCTTTATTTTAACATTACAAATGTTGTCTCAAAAGTCACATATGCCAACTTGTGAGCGGCCTTAGATATTCAAGGTCAAAGGTCGCAAAAATCAATTTTTTGAGAATATCTCCTTTTCTCTGCCTTCTATCGTATTTGCATTTATTATACAAGTTGTAGAGAATAAAATTCTCTACAAATTTTGTTTACAAAATTTTTTTTATACCTCGAACCGTTTTTGAGATAGAGGGCGCAGAGTGTGGAGTTGATGACGTTAAAGGTCCAGTCTCTTCAAGGCGACGTCTTGCTGCTGCAATTTTACTATAGTACGCTATAGCGTACAATTTTCGACACTCAATATTAAGTATTTAGGTAGTTTATGTTTATTTCTCTCAATAATTGCTTCTTTTAAAGTCTTTATACCGCGCACAGAAGTCACAGAATCACCTTCAGAAAGTAACTTATTACAAATAAAATACAAATCAGCCCTGTTAACCTTTAAAATATTACGAATATTACCTGTCACAACCCTAGACCTATACCTAGGGTCACAACTTAAGCAATTGCTTTAAATATAGGTATACCTAACCTTTTAATTAATAGCAAGCCCACTATAGTATTTCCAGGTCTGTAATTTTAAAAGCAATATCTGAATCGAAGAGATGACCAGAGACATATCCAAGGCAAATTATTTAATGTCTTTTCTTCTTAAAATTAATTATTTATTAGAATAACATAAGAATATATTTAGAATGATTAACTTTATTATTTAATTATTTGTATGTCAAAAGTAAGTAATATTTATTGACTATTTGTTTTAAAAAAATATATAAAAATAAATATAAGGTATTAAATTGTTATTTAAGTAATATTTAATAAATAATTAATTAAAAAACGGTATAATAGATTGGGATTCATGATTAACCTTGTGCTAAAGGTACGTATGGCTGAGCGCTCCACACTCTGCGCCCTCTATCTCAAAAACGATTAGACGTATAAAAAAATGTTTTAAACAAAATTTGTAGAGAATTTTATTCTCTACAACTTGTATAATAAATGCAAATACGATAGGAGGCAGAGAAAAGAAGATATTCTCAAAAAATTGATTTTTGCGACCTTTGACCTTGAATATCTAAGGCCGCTCACACGTTGGCATATGTGACTTTTGAGACAACATTTGCAATGCTAAAATAAAGGTTTGTACAAAAATTCAGCTTATTCCGTTAGATTCCGAGGTTAAATGCCTAGATGACTGGACTAATAATAAAATAAAATTTAGAACCGATGTACATCACTTAAATTTAAGACACAAGAGTACTATCACAATCCCTCAGCACACAACCTCTATTTATCAAAGAAGTTTTAGCTATAATATCGCATTTTTTTATAACCTGTTACCTAACAATTTGAAAGCATGCTCAATTTTACTTTTTAAAAACAAATTAAAACAATTAATTTTTGACAACTTTTTTAATTTATGCTAATCATAAAATTCTCTTTATTATATTTCAATATGTTTATACGCAGTCTAACTGCAACAGTTTATGTATCTTATTTTGATTGCACAAATTTATTTGCCTGTAGCTAGAATAAGTACCTACAGTTTATTTGTTAAGCTAGGTTAAGTGGAAGAACAGCAGCCTTGTGGCAATTTGCTGAACTTCGCCTATTGTTACATTAATTTAACAATAAAGTTACTTATTATTATTATTATTATTAAAAATGATTAGTTATAAGTCATATTAAGTTCTATAATCTGTGGTCATATTTGACTAAATGTCATAGCGAAAAAGCAGTCACTAATAATTATAATTAGTCAAATTCTACTTAATGAAATATTCAAATTAGTAGATTTAAATTTAAAAAAGTTTTGACCCAGCCGGGGATTGAACTCAGGTCTGTCACTTGTCAAACTTGTTAAGCTGTTGTCATAACCAATGTGGCTATCAACACCTCTTATAAAAATAATTTTTTTTGTCAATAAATATTGTTCATAATAACTATTTAAAAGTGAAAACTATGAGGCGCCGTTTGTGTCATTAATAAATGCTAAAATATATATAATATTTACTGATATATATTTATTTTTATTAAATATATATATATTTTTTGCAAATATATATTTTTTTGTTGAAAATAAATATATATATATATTTACTTTTTAAACAAAAATATATATATTAAAAAATATATATATATATATTAAAAAATAAATATATATATATATTTTTAAAAAATAAATATATATATTTTTAGTGAACTTACATATTTATATAAAAACTGAGCTTATGCGAACAGTCGCTTGGTGGCGTTCACTTCGCAAACGCAACGCTGCAACAGCTGACCCAAAAATATTGGTGCAAGGTTATGTCAAAGATTAAATATACTCTTTCTCCAAGATGCGACACTAGAAAAGGAAGTTTAAATGCAAGACAGTGATAGAAGAGAAACGTTTTTAAACGCCTTCGAGACTTAGGCCGTAGGATTATTTTATTACTTTAATTATTTGATAAGTTATTTTTGATTCTAAAATTTAATATTGATCCAAACATAAATTTAGCCCAATTTATTGTTTTACCGGTATTATAATAATTGGAGTAATGTTTTTACCAGGCAAAATATTTATTTGCATGAATCTCATTTGGAAGGTAAAATATTTAATTTAAAATTGTTATTTCCTCCAAAAATTATTTAAATAGAGTAATGTTTTTACCAAGCAAAATATTTATTTGCATGAATCTCATTAGGAAGGTAAAATATTTAATTTAAAATTGTTATTTCCTCCAAAAATTTCTAAATTCCAAATTATTTAGATTTAGCCCAATTTATATATTTAAGGATTTAAGGATTATAATAAATGAGGTAATATTTTTAGCGACAAATATTTATTTGCATTAATCCTACCATGCAAAATACAAAATCAATTTAATTTTATGTAAATTTTCTTTTTGTTAGGTATAAATCCGCACAATATAAAACGGCCTAAAGAGGAGTAGGCCTTTATTCCAAGCGAACAAGTGTTTCACAGAACTGTTTACCATCAATTATTTGCGACGTTGTAAAATTTCGAGTTTTCAATTGATTTAAAGTGTTTTCTTTTAAAAATGGCAAGTTTACCTAGTGGTAGTGGAACAGTGTGTGCTCAGAAAACATGTAAAAATTCTTATTATAAGAATAGAGACCTTAAGTTCCACCTTTTTCCGAGAAATGAAGAAAGGTATGTACATAACCTCAAATTTTCATTAAATGTAAACACGATTAATTTTGTTAACAATCTTTTGTTAAAAAGAAATTTGTTTTTTATAATTTTATTTTTCGATAAAATTAAAGAAGATAAAAGGTACCTACCAAAAACACAACCTATGATAATGTATGAAAAGTAAACAATTTTTAATTTCTTTATTTTTCATATAATAAATATTTAAATCAATAAAATAATTGTTATTGTTATGCTTTACAATGTTAATTTGTTTTTTAGGATTTGCAAATGGTTAGACGCAATTGATCGACAAGATTTAAAAGAGAAATTTTTAGAAAAGAGTATTAATATTAAAAACTACCGTGTTTGTAGTGCTCATTTCTGCAGAGAAGATTATAATCCCAATAGCCCCAGATTATTATATAAGGCAGTTCCATGTCAATCTGAATCCAATAAACGTAAGTAAATCTTTTAATGTAAAAAATTAATTCCATCATCAATAATTAAACAATTTTTTTTTAATATTTTAGAACAAGAGACGGAATCTTCTTTGGATATTGTTATCCCTCCAGAGGAAGAAGACTTCCAAGAGCCTTTGAAATCGCCTGTGGCAGCAACTCAAACCCCGTTATTTTTGACTTCAAACAGCCCACGAAAACTTAAGTTAAATAAAAAAGTTGTTGAGCTGGAAAGGCAATTAAAAGAATTAAGTAGAGAACTTGAAAGAAAAGATAAATGTGTTTCTAAACATTCATGTGGGGTCTGCCATAATTTTTCAAAACAGAATGAAGAACTTGATAATAGTAATTTATTTATTCACTTTGCCGCTTATAACACACGTTATAATGATTTTGGTAGTTTAAAGACGTCTTTAAACTACCAAAATCATTATAACGTGTGTTATAAGCGGCAAAGTGAATAAATAAATTACTATTATCAAGTTCTTCATTCTGTTTTGAAAAATTATGGCAGACCCCACATGAATGTTTAGAAACACATTTATCTTTTCTTTCAAGTTCTCTACTTAATTCTTTTAATTGCCTTTCCAGCTCAACAACTTTTTTATTTAACTTAAGTTTTCGTGGGCTGTTTGAAGTCAAAAATAACGGGGTTTGAGTTGCTGCCACAGGCGATTTGGGGTCTAGACCCCAATGAAAGTTTTTATAATTACATTTATGCCTTGGAAAAATCCTTTTTTGAAAATTTTTCAAAATTTGCTACAGAAATTGGGGTAGGTAGAAGTTTGTTTAATATTATGTCAGAAATTAAAGGTTTTTCTCATCCCTGTCCCAATTTTTCATTGGATCATCTCATAAAATTATTTATTAGATTAAGAATTTATTATATAGCAAAATATAGTAATAGGGATTTCAAAAATCAAACAAAAAAAAAGAAAACTATGTATATTAATGAATTTATAAATAAAAATGTAATCAAATTTAGTATTTTGTATTTTATTATTTTTATTCCAAATAGTGCCCTTACCTAGTTTAATAAATGAAAATAGTGTTTTACAGGTACATGACCTAGTACATACTCATAAAACTTGAGGGATAAACTTGAATTGTCATTTTATTTATTTTTAAATTGCTGTTATATTAATTAACACAATATATACACAATATGTTTAAATATTGTTATATTATATTTTTTAATATATCTAATAATAAAAAAAGGAATTTGAATCACTAAAGCGACATTCCATTTTATAATTTTTTTATTTTAATATTTTTTTATTAAATTTAAACTACTTAACAATCCGCTCCACCAACCGAATGCATACAAATACACACTTTCAAATATTCCCTTGATAATATGCAACGTTGCCGGTTTTAGAAACGATTTGTGGGCGTGCAAGGTCAAATATTCGGCTTTGCCAACTTCAAAGGTTCCGACAGAAGTGTCGCATCTTGAAGAAAGAGTATATTTAATCTTTGGTTATGTTATAAAACTAGATAAAAAAGGGTTATGAACAAGAAATTGCCGGTAGGTAATTGTGTTTGATTTGAAGTAAATATTTTATGTAGTGCACATATCTCTAAATATGTGATCCAGTGTCTACATAATAATAATAATAATTTATTTGCAGTAACTAAAAATATACATCAATGATTTACAATAAAACACAATTACACATTTCTGCAAAAAGGACTGAAAGGCAGTAATTACTGATACAAGTTTTAGCCCAGAAACAACTATAAATAATTTACAAAATAGACATTTAAACAATTTAACACTATGGCATTATCCTAAATAAAATAAATAAATAATACGCCCGCAACAGGCTTTCTGCGAGCCAAAAATAGCTAACCAATAAATTTAAGACAACATCTAGATATAAATAACACTAAAAATGAACAAGCCTAAACCATAACTAATCTAAAGTAATCTAAAGTAATCTAGTATTTATATTTAAATACAAACTTAATAAGAATCCTAGACCAATAACAATAAAAATGTGGGAAGAAAGAAAGCGCCAAATGTAATGTTTTGTCACGCGTCAGCTGTTGCAGCGTGAACGCCACCAAGCGACTGTTTTCATAAGCTCAGTTTTTATATAAATATGTAACTTTACTAAAAAATATATATATATTTTTTTAAATATATATTTATTTAAAAAAATATATATATGTATATAATATAAATTTGAAAAAAATATATATATATATATTTAATAAAAATAAATATATATCAGTAAATATTATATATATTTTAGCATTTATTAATGACACAAACGGCGCCTCATAGAAAACTATGGAACGCCGTTTTACTATTTATTATACATTTATACCAATGTTTCATTTAAATGATAGATGAAAAAGAAAGAAATTCGATAATAGAAATGAAATGCATTTCGTTGAACCAAGTATCATTTTAATGCTAACTTGAAATTTCTTTCCTATTTTTCTTATATATGCATGCGGTGAAACAATTTCAATGACAATTGTAATAAACTTGTATTTGAATTTAAAAGACACTCAAATTTTTAAGACATGTAAGATATCTAAGGAATCATTTAAATCAAAGTTGAATTTTTCTTACACATGAATTTAAATAACATGTGAATTTATCAAGTACATAAGCAGCTGGGTATCATTTAAATGGTACTTGCATTTTACTTACATTTGAATTTAAATAGCACTTTAATTTTTATAATAGTTGGAAATAACAGACAAAAAATATATATTTTTTCATTTTTATTTAAATGGAATCTGTATTTAACTAAAAGTTGAATTTAAATAACATTTGAATTCAAACGAAACTTGAATTAAATTGACACTTGAATTCAAACGTCACTTGAATTCAAACGTCACTTGAATTTAAACGAAACTTGAATTTAAACGACACTTGCATTTAAATGGTACTTGAATTTAAATGAAAGTTGAATTTAAATGACCCAAATGTCTATTTCTTTGACCTTCACAGCTGCCATCTATCGATAGGTAGTTGAAATAATTGATTTTACAGCGCCATCTATGGTTACAACAATGCATTCAAACAAAATGTCGGTCTATGCGCCTGCTTGTATATTATATACAGTATATATCTACATGGTTTACCATAGAGTATAGTCATTGTTTTTAAAAACAATGGTATAGTGTACGAATCCCCCACAGTTTTTCCCCTGGATTTAAATTTTATTTATTACAAGGATAAAGAGTTTTGTGTGGTTACTATATAAGGATTAAAGACTTAGATTAAGATCATGTGTGATTCTTTTTTGGTGTGACTGATCTTTTTGTTTTTGCAAGTTAGCGAAAAAGATGCCTCTAATTTTCTCCCTAAACTACAATTTGAAAATGTTTTAACTACCTGTCGATAGATGGCAGCTGCTTAGGTCAAAGAAATAGACATCTGGGTCATTTAAATTCAACTTTCATTTAAATTCAAGTACCATTTAAATGCAAGTGTCGTTTAAATTCAAGTGACGTTTTAATTCGAGTGTCGTTTGAATTCAAGTGTCAATTTAATTCAAGTGTCGTTTGAATTCAAATGTCATTTAAATTCAACATTTAGTTAAATGCAGATTCCATTGAAATGAAAATGAAAAAAAATATATATTTTATATCTGTTAAATCCAACTATTGTAAAAATTAAAGTGCCATTTAAATTTAAATGAAAGTAAAATGCAAGTTTCATTCGAATGATACACAAGCTGCTTATTTACCAGATAAATTCAGATGTCATTTAAACTCATGTGTGAGAAAAATTCAACTATGCTTTAAATGATTCGTTAGATCTCTACATGTCTCGAAAATTTGAGTATCATTTAAATCTAAATACAAAAAAAATAATTTGTTGTTGAAATGTGAACGTTTCTTACTATTTTAAAAATTTAATGTAATTTTGACTGACCCATCATTCATTTAAATGTTATATAGGGGCCAATATTCATTTAGAATAAACTATGTTTGAAATACAACTGCATAAGTTTATTTTTCATTAAAATCATGTTTAACTTTATTTGTCGTGATAAATGCACTGGAGAGAATAATCCAACTATCATATAAATACAACCATAACTGTAAAACTATAAGTTAAATTCATCTGTTTGTTTCTATGTATCATTTAAATGGTTTCCAGCTCATATTAATCAGATATAGGTCATTTTTATGACTTAAATTTACATTGGAGACTTCATAAGAGTAGGTATGATAAATTTAACTTTCGTCGAAATCCGTCTACTAATTCTTAAGTTTCATTTAAAAGACACTTGGGTCAACGAAATGCATTTCATTTCTATTATCGAATTTCTTTCTTTTTCATCTATCATTTAAATGAAACATTGGTATAAATGTATAATAAATAGTAAAACGGCGTTCCATAGAAAACGACCATTTTATTAGTAAAAAATGCTGGTACTTATTCAAATAGTAGAATTTTGACTATTTCATTTTAAGAAAGCACTTCAATAACTACCTATATTGTTGGGTAAGGGTATTAAATTATGGAACGCCGTTGTATTTTTTAATCAGGAATTTTTGTTGCAACTCCAACTGCTAGTCATATTTTTAATTGTATCGATTATTTTAAACAATATTTATAACTCAACTAATTTTATACTCAAAAATAATGTGGAATTAAAAATATCAAAGTGTCACTAAAATTAAAGTCAATTTTTAATTCAAAGTGATATTTGTAATTCAAAGGAATTATCGATATCAAAGTGACCAGAAAATTCAAGTTAATTTTTAATTCAAACTGATATTCATAATTCGAATGAATTATAAATATCAACTTGAATTTTTAATTCAACTTATTTTCAACTAAAAAATGATGTAGAATTAAAATATTAAAGGGAAACTAAGAATTATTTCATATTTTTAAATGAAAGACATATTTTTAATTCTCACAGTTTGGACACCTCTGGTAATGTTGACGGTTCAATTTATCTACTACAGTAGGTATATATGCTTTAATCTCAGTTAAATTATTTTGCGGCACTGTTTGTTTATATAATACAGTTTTTATTAATAATAGGCATAATAATTAATATTAATTAAATTACCTAATATTTTAAATATTTACACAGGTATTCTCATAAATCGTTAAGTAGGTCAACTGAGTCAGTTGAACTACTACAAATTTGACAATGCGAGAATTTCCCGCCGGGAAACCTAACCTTCTTTATCTCCCTAGATAAATCTATCTAGGTTTATCTCTGCCGGGAACGAAGCTAAAATTGTTGGTATATTTACTACATAGGTAAGTATTAATAAAAACGTTATTATATAAACAAAAATAGTGCCGTAAAATAATTGAACTGAGATTAAGGCAAATATACCTACTGTAGTAGATAAATTGAACCGTCAACATTACCAGGGGTGTCCAAACTGTGGGAATTAAAAATATGTCTTTCATTTAAAAATATCAAATAATTCTTAGTTTCCCATTAATATTTTAATTCTACATCATTTTTTA